CATGAACATATTTCGGATCGCCGAGTTAGTTGAAGGCCTTTCGTCGAATTATTCGGTGGAAGCCTTAGATATCGTTAGCGCTGTACTGTTGTCTGCGCCATAGACATGACAACAGCCGCATTATGCTCTCGTGAGCAGCCACTTCTATTGCGACTGCTCAACGGAGCTGGTCAAACGTGACCAGCGAAAGTGATTCAAATTTAGGAACCTCAGCTTCCTGAGGAAGCCCGCACATCTAGACGCCCAGATGCGCCTGGAATGTCCGCAGGAAGGCTTGATAGGGCGGCGGCGGCATTCCAAGCCAAGCCCGGGTGAAAAATAGCGCATCCTCGAAGAGAAGGATGAACAAGCTTCGCAGAAAAACATGCAGCACATGCACCACATACATCTTACACATCACGTAGATCTCATAGACCATACACGTTCACAAATCCGGTACATCGCATAGATCAAGTAGATCCCATTCATATCACAAACATAACCTGCATCCCATACATTGCTGGTTTGAGAGCGCAAGGAAGTCTGGCGAAGTGCTACTTTGTCATGGCCAATTCCTGGGCGGGTGCTTCTTTCTGAAGCAGGACTGTGTTGTTAATGCGCAACCGGGAAGTTTAATCAGTCCCTGCGCCTCAACCATCAAACGCACTACATGCGAGTGCCATGGCTGGCCATGCCCTGTGGGCTGAAGCTGCTCAAGCCAATGCCAATCGTACTCATGCCAATACTGGTGGCCAGTGGCGAAAGTGCCCGGGAGCCTTGCGGCCGAGGCGTTGCCAAGGGTGAGTCTGGCCGCCGCATTCCACTGCTGGCATTGCTTCGGAGCCTGCCAGGAACGTGGTTTGATCAGGTTCGATATTCAAAATGTTTATGTTTTTTCAATGGGAAAGTCTCTGTGACGTTTCCTGTTGGGATGTCGCTTTCGCGCGCCATCCAGAAGGTCAGAGACCAACATAAACGAATCACTTGAACATATTGGCAAGGCTTCCAAAATGCAGCATGTTCGGCACACACCTCAAACAAGGGATCCCGCCAGAGGGATGTTCAGGGTTACCGCCTTCTACCCTAAAGCCTGCCTGCCCGTAGGTGAAGGAAGCCGCGCACCCCAACTACTAAGCAGAGTCAAGGCAAGACATACGCCATGGTTCAGCCAGCTGGCAGCAAACAACTTCAGGCGGCTACCGGAATGAAGGATAATCATGTTGATTGGTTTGATTGTTTCTATTCTACTCCTATGTGTACATTCGGAGAATATCTTGCATGACAGGTGGTCGCCTGTACCCCCACCCACCCTGAAGTACATGATGCACGATCCGGCGCACACCCAGGAAAAATAATTGCCAATGAGAAAGCTTCATGAGTACATGTCATACACATCTCACACCTTGTGGAAATTCAAAGCCCGAGCGCTCTGTTCTTCGGCCATGTCTCCTTCGAGCTTCTCGCTTGACGTCCTCTTTGCAAAAGCCACTGATGTTGGCGAGCATAGTGAGGAGGACCTGGCCATCACCCCAGCCTTCCCTATTATAGTTCGCATGCAGAATCGGGAGCATCCTGCAACCCCTGAGCCTTACTGCGGCAGGTAACCGTACCTTGCCTCGAATTCACAGACAGGTTTTACCGCAGGCATTCAGGTCATCAAATGGCTCTGGGATTTATATATATATATATATATGTCCGCCGACATTGCTCGGCGT